TCGTCGTCGTCGTCGTCGTCGTCATCGGCGTCGTGGTCGTTGTCGTCGTCGTCGTCGCTGCCGCCGCCGCAGTCGTCGCCGTCGTCGTCGTCGTCGTCGTCGTCGTCGTCTTGGTCGTCGCTGCGGTCGTCGTCGTGGTCGTCGCTTCGGTCGTCGTCGTCGTCGTCGTCGTCCCCGACCTTCGCATCTCTGGATTCTCATTTGTATTTCTGGCTACTCCTCGGACTCCCACTGCCTCCTCCTCGTGATCTCCCCTTTGGCATCGCCCCTCTACTCCTCTACGCTGCCGCTCTTCTGCTCTCTCGCCCGTTGCTCCTGTCCTCTTCCGTCGGAGCTCTCAACCGCTTCCTCGCCCTCCCACCTTCTCACCTTCACTGTTTCGTTCGCCTCCCGCCCCCTACCTCTCGACCTCCAGCCGCGCGCCCCGATAGGATCGACAGGTGCTGTCGTTGGCGGGGCCCGACGCGACCAAAGTGGGGACGGACTTCGCCGTGAGCTTCGCAGTGATGATGGAGCCCGAGACCAAGCAATGTGCCATCATGCTGCCGCAGGCTGTCTCTTTTTTTTGAGCGGGCATTGCGGGGGGAGGGAGGGCGCAGGATCGGGCGTCTCAGTTCTCCTCGGGGTTGAGGGGGTAGGAGCAGGGATGGACAGTTTGCTCCTTACTCAGCCCAACCTTTCTTAACTTGCCCGCTTATCCCTGTTTGTTTCCCGTATCCCTTCTCATCCCTCTCTTCCCCTCCACGTTTCATTCCTTCGTATCGCTTCTTATTCCTTTGTTTCCTCTTATCCACTTTATCTCCTTCCTCGCCTTACCTCCTTCTATCGCCATGATCCCTCTGTGCCCCCTCCTCGTCTTACTACATCTGCTCCCTCTGCGTCCCGCTTATCCCATCCTCATCCTAACCCCTAGTATCTCTTTTTATCCCTCGTATCCCCTCTTATCCCCACTTATCCCTCTTCTCCCTCATATCGCATGTTATCCCCATTCTCTGTTCTATCCCCTCTGATCCTCTCTTCGTCTTGCTCATGTTACCTCTCTCTCCCTTCTTATTCCCTCTGACCCCCTTCACCTATCACCCCTTCTCCTCTTATGCTCTAGACCCCGCCCGTCTTCCTTCTCTTCCCACTACCTCCCTCATGCGTTCGCCTCCGCATGTTTTCCGCTACCCTGCTCGCTCCTCCTTCCGTCGACGTCGCATGTCGCTCCCTCGCCCCCCCTCGCCCTCGCCTCCTTTCCCGCCCCCAAGTCTCCCCAGCCTCCGTTTTTCCAAGGGGCCTCCAGAGGCCTCCAGGGGCCTCCAGGTGTCTCCAGGAGCTTCCAGGGCCTCCACGCAGGGCCGCTGGAGGCCCCCGCAGCCTTTGAATTTCGCCCCCCGCGGCGCTCCAGGGGGGGGGGGTCCGGAACGGGGCCGGGGCCGGCCCCGGGAACGATTCGGGGGGGATGTCTCGAGCGGGGGCGTCGCTCCCCAGACCACCCTCGTTGCGGACCCCCTCTTTTTGATGTTTTCGGGGGCGCCCCCACGGGCTTTCGATTTCGGAGCTCCGCCCGCCCCCCCGCGAGGTCCCCCACCAGCACCTTGGGCCCGCGGTCTTCGCGGAGGGCGAGGAGTTGCGCGCCTTGCAGGCCGAGCACCGTGCTGCCATCAGGATTGGCGTGCCACGGTTCGTGCGCGCGGTGCCCAGAAAGGCGAGCGCGGCCACGGGGCTGGCGGAGGGCCGCAGGTAGGGTGGGAAGATGGGGAACGAAGGAGGGAGGGGTGCAGCTGCGCCATAGGTTGCGAGCATCAGAGAAGGGGGAGCGGAAGCACGACGGCCCTCGGGGACGGGCTGAGGGTCGTGGCACGTTGACGCCGCGAGGGGTCGGACGACGGTTCCAGTCAAGAGTTTTGCCCAGTTCGGGTCTCTGAGGGGCTACGGGGGGCTGCGGGGAGCGGGGTCTCTGGGAGCTCTCGGAGTGGCTTAGAGGATGATGGGGGCGATGATGGTGCTGAGGCTGATCATGCGGATCAGGATGAGGCCAATGGTGATGCTGCCGATGATGTTGGCAATAGCGATGATGGGGCGACGATGAGGATCATGGCGATGCTGATGAGGATGGCGACGATGGTGATGAGGACGCTGTGGCTGCTGAGGATGCTTAGGGTGATGAGGATGACGCTCAGGCGAGATCGCATTGGCCTTTTGGACCTGCGGTACGGGGGATTGAATGATGATATCGGAACTGACGCATGTTATATAGGGAAGCGCCCAGGCGCGGTGGCGATAAAGAATTGAGGAGCAACTCGGGAAGTGGTGGATAGAGGGCGGTGAGGTGCCGACAGAGACATATGTGACGCACGATCTTGATATGAGATAGTGGGTGGCGCGCGCGAGCCCAAACGCGCTGCCACGAAACGTGTGCCGCTCGGACGCCTCACGACAAAAACCCCGCCGGCCGCGTCGCCTCAGGCTGCCGAGCCACGCAGCGAACAGGTCTTGGTGCTCCTGCGCCCACGTGCCGAGGACGACGGCAATGACGTCGCCGCAGAGGGCGGCGCCGCCGCCCAGTCCGACTCGGCCGAGGAGCAGGACGACGGCCCCCCGTGGCCCGACGCGGCCGAGAAGGCCCGCCTAGCCTGGGAGGCGGCCGAGCGGGCCCACCACGAGGCCGAGGATGCCAGCTAGACTTGGCAGTCGCGGGCCAAAATTGCCGCGCTCAGCGAGGCGACGGCCCGCGCGGCTCGCGCCCAGGCCGAGGTGGACGAGGCCGCAGCTTTGCAGGCGGCCGCCGCCGCCGTGGAGGCGGCCCGCGTGGCACGCGCCATGGAGTGGCGGGCGCGGGCCTTGGCGTTGTTGCAGCGCCGCTGTAGAGACCCACTAAGGGATGCCACAAGCGGAGGAGGTAGGTCGGGGGAGCGGGGATGCGCCATGATACAATTGGGGGGAGGTAGTAGACAGGTAGGGGGCGAGGAAGATAAAGGGTAGGTAGCTGGGTGAGGTAGGCATACGGTGGGACAAAGGTAGGTAGGACAAAGGTAGGTAAGGGTAACGGTTGGATCAAGGTAGGTAGGATAAAGGTATGAAAAAAGGTATGGAGCTGGAGGAGGTGGGATGAAGGTAGGAGGAACAGCTTGTTTAGGTCTTTTCGTTTGCTCGCGTCGTGTCGCGCGGGGCCCGCCCCGCCCCTCCGCCGCGAGGACCGTCGTCAAGAGGAGGCTCGGCCAGGGCGCGGAGGACGGCGCCGACGAGAAGGAGTCCAAGCCCGAGAAGAAGAGGCGCGTGAAGACGTTCGTGGCCGTGATGTACCTCAACAACATGCTCAAGGGCGCGACGGGCAAACAACTACCTCACTGGATCCCGCCCGTGACAGCGGACGGCCACTACGCCACGTGCCCTTTCACGTGGCCGTCCTTGTCGGTGGCGACCGACCGGGGGCCCGACATGGTGGCGATGTCGAACTTCTTGCAGTGCAAGCTGGGCTGCAACATCCACTTCGAGTGGGACATATCGCACGCCCTCAACAACGCCGCGAAGGGCGCTCTAAGGCAGCGCCTGCCCCTCCCCCCTCTCTGTAGAAGGATGGGCTGGGAGGGGGGTGGACAGGATGGAGAGGGAGGAGGATGGGCGAGCGGGATGAGGACGATCAGGATGAGGATGAGGAGGAGGAGGATGAGGATCAAGAGGGGGGGGGGGGGGGGGGGGGGGGGGGGTGGGTAGGGGTGGGGGGGGGGGGGGGGGGGGGGGGGGGGGGGGTGGGGGGGGGGGGGGGGGGGGGGGAGGGGGGGGGGTGGGGGGGGGGGGGGGGGGGGGGGGGGGGGGGGGGGGGGGGGGAGGATGAGGATGCGGAGGAGGAGGACGACGACGAATACGACGAGGACGAGGGCGACGAAGACGACGACGACGGCGACGGCGACGACGACGACGGCGACGGCTTGGAATGAGGTGGAGGAGGGGCACTGAGAAGGATCAGGAGGAGGAGGAGGACGGCTGCAAGGGTTTGGCGGGCGAGCGGAGGCCCTTTTTTCGCACGCCTCCACCTCCAGCTCATCCTCCTTATGTTCTCTCCTATTGTTTGATCTCCCCTCGCCCTCGGCTCGCTTCCCCATTGGCCATGTATGGTCACTTCCCTCCTCTCCCATTCATGTGGCCAGCCCCTGCCGTTTTCCCACCTCGCAGCGCCATATGGTTCTCCCCCCTGCATCTGGGCTTTATGATCCTGTTGGCGTTCTTAACTTATCGGCTTCACCCCTCCCTCTTCTCGGCGTCCTCCCCTCGGCGCCCCCCCCCCCGTCTCCGCCTGCAGGCAGTCGAGGCTCTACGGGTTCCAGGTGATGATGATCAGCGCCCAGAATTGCACATACGGGTCGACATTGTCGCCTCCACGGCTTGCCCAGATACGAGAAGCTTGCTGGAACCATTGGGATTCTTGCACGATGGAGACCGACGTGTTCTTCCAGCTGTGGTTGCCCCACATGAAGCTGCAATCAGGGGACAGCGTTTTTTTTCGGGGGCATGGTGGCTGTGATGAGGGGGCGGCCAACGCGATGCGGATTAGATGATGCTTCGAGTGCACGCGATGCGGAGGATGGAGCGGTGGCGGGGGTTGGGGGCGGGAGGAGTGGGGAGGAAGCGGACTGGGGGATGGTGGAATGGGGGAGGGGGGGGGAGGCGACGAGGGTGACGTGGAGGCAGATGGGGGGAGGGGGGGCGATGACGAGCCTGAGGAGGGTTCGGCAACAATGCAAATGGGGTCGGGGGCGCTTGCAACGCGTCGCAGCACGCGCAGGGGGGGCACTAGCAACGAAACGTATCGGCGGAGCGGGTGTGGAGGAAATTGAGGAGCAACGCGCGGGGCAATGGTGGTGGGTGGAGTTGGGAGGGTGGCTCATGGAAGAGGGGGGCTCGATAACATTGCTGCGTGCCTTTTTGGCCGTGTTGCGCCTGGGAGGGCGCGCGGTGTTTTGGGTGGCTCGCAGTTGGAGGGGGTGTAGGGCAGCGCCAAACGCACGCGGCTCCAGGCCGACCCAGCGGCTTACATGAGCGACGCGCAGGTCTACGCTGCCCTGAAGGCCAGCCCGCTTCTCACTGCCAAGAATGAGAAGGTCAACATGGGCAAGTACCAGCAGCCGATTCACCATGCCCGCAGGACATTGTGCCTGTGCGCTCAGAAGGCCTACTTCTTCGGGATCGCCGCGATGTCGTTCGCGTACAAGGGCCAGTGGAAGGTCAAGGCGCCTGTGCTGCCCGAGCACGCCCTCGCCTTGGCGGAGGGGGGGCCGACGCTCAAGCAGCATGCGGCGGCGGCGGCTCCATGGGGCCAGAGCTGCGAGAACCAATTGGACAAGGCAGCGGTGCTCTTCGGCGACGTCGAGAACTACTACCGCCAGAAGCTCATCGTCCAGGTCCTCGGGCCGACCGCGACGTACCATTCCAGGCGCGTGCGGCCCCTCTCCTCGTCTTGGCCGTTCTTACCTCCCTTATTCCACATATTCCCCTCGCCCCAGTTCCCCTTAGCACTCTTAACCCCATTATCCCCTCCTCGTCGTATCCACTTCTACACATTCTTATCCATATTATCACTTATTATCCCATCTGGTCCCTTTACCGCTCATATCTCATTTTATCTTATGAACCCCCTCTTATTCAAATTATCAGTCCTTTCCTCTACCTCTCTTCTGATTCGTGTTGCTTCTTCTCCCCTGTTGCTCCCTTCTATCTTCCCTCATCCACTCTTATCCCGCTCGCCCCCGCCGTCTCCCCCCGCAGACCGCCCTCCCACCACCTCCTTCTTACGTTCGCCGCATCGCGTTTCCCATTGCCGTGCCCCGCCCATCCCTCCGTCAAGGTCGCACCCCAGTCCCTAGCCTCTCCTCGCCCTCGCCTCCCTCGCCGCCCCCTCGCCTCCCCTGCACCAGTTTGTCCAAAAGGTTTCCAGTGGCCTCGAGAGAAAATGGTGCGCTCCCCCGTGCACCCCCCCCCCCCCTCCGCTTCAGGCAGAACATCGACCTTCGGTCGGCGGATGCTGCCATCAAGTTTGAGCTGGAGCAGATCGTAGGCGGCGAGATGTACAAATGCGAGCGCCTAGCGATGGCGCAGTTCTCTCACAGGCAGTCGTACGTGGAGTGCGGGATCGAGGTGCAGTGGAGTGCGACGGTGCTGCATCTTGCCCATGCTCGCATCGCGCTTTCCGATGACCTGGCCAATCCCACCGTGGACCTCATATTGAACACCATATTGCAACACGCGAAGCGCAACATGAGCTTCACGCACGGCTTGCCGCGCCGCCAGGTGTTGCTCCTGCATGAGGGCGAGAGGCCGCGCTTCATCAAGCAGTTGAGGAAGGATCTGGACCTGTACGACGTGCTCAAGGAGCAGGCGTTCCCAGGAGTGCAGAGGTTTCTGGAGAGGTCCGTGTTTCAGCTGCCAGCGGTGACGCAGCTCGTGATGTGCCTCGAGAAGGACGGGTGGAAATTCACCGCGAGGACGCGGTGGATTGAAATGCACCCCGATCTTACCCCCCCACCTCCTCCTCCGATGTCCCTCCTCCTCTCCCCTTCCTTCCTCCTCCTCGTCCTCCTGATTGCCATCGCCCCCCCTCGCGCGCCACGGCCCTCCTCCTTCATCCCGCCCCCCCCCCCCCCTGCCTTCTGTCATCCTTATTTCCTCCTCCTCCTTAGGCCCTCTTCCGCATTCGCTCTCGCCCTGCACATTTCCGATGGGTGGCCAGGCGGTGTCTACGCACAGGGCGCCCCCCCCCCCTCTTCCCCCCCGCCGCCGCCCCCCCTTCAGGCTCTCCAGTGATTTGACCGCTCCCGCCAGGATGAAGGATTTGACTGAGCGGAAGTGCTGCAGATTCATCGGGCAACAAATCGTCGAGGACAGCTTCAACAAAATAAAAGCCAGGAGCGATAGAAACCGTAACAAGGTTTCGGCAGAGCACATTGTCATGGCCACCGCCATAGATTCAGGCGTGCTGACGCAGTGTCATCATTACACGGAGGTCGACCGCCACAAGGAGCCCAACGAGCGTTCGGAGTCTTTCGAGCCGCGCGCGTTCAAGCCGCAGGTGCTGAAGTCCAAGATGGACCCAGTTCTGAGGCCTCTGAACCTGTCTGGCGTGGTCGGCACTGGGGAGGCTGGCTGGTATTCGCCTGGCGCGGGTGGGATTCCCCAGGCCTACGCCGACCTGGAGCTTTGCCGCGTGGCCGAGAGGGAGGGCAGGATGGGGATCATGAACAAGCGGATCTTCTGCCGAGTGGTTCAGAAGGGCATCGTGCTGCGCAAGATCGGCACGGACGTGTGGCCCATGGGCGTTGGCAGCGTTTGCGATACCTTCGGGGTTGGCTGGCCCCTGGTCGCCTACTCTGCCAGTGACTTCATCCCAGAGAAGGAGGGCACCAGACAGCTCCTGGTCATCCTGGACCCCACCGAGTGGGAGGCGTTCCCCGTGTCCTTTCTCAGCCCGTTGCACAGGGCAGTGCTTGAGGAGAAGGAGAAGCTCGGCCCCAACACGGATATCATGACCGAGATCAAGCTGAAGGCCCCATCATTGGGGCGGGCGGGTACCACTGAGGTAGGGATGATTCGGAGAGGTAGGGGGGTGGAGGAGGATGAGGATGGTGTAAAGCCTGAGGCTAGGATGAGGGTGAGGATGTAGAGAGGAGGATGCGGATGTGGAGAGGAGGAGGATGAGGACTAGGATTGCCCCACCCCTGCCTGCTCAGGCTAGCGAGCACTACGGGGACCTCACCATCGTCGCCCATCAGCGTCGCCCTCCTGCACCCTTGCTTGCGTGTGCTGCGAGGGAGGCGTTCTTCGACCTCCCCGTCTCTTATCTCAAGGAGCTCGCAGACATGATCGAGTGCGACTATACCGACATCAGCTTGTCATCGCTGCTGACGGCCTTAGCGAAGAAGCTCATTCCAGGCATTTCGAATGCGGAGCTGGTCAACATCCTCGTCAGGAGGGAGTGCAGCTTCGAGGTCGACGAGTCACTGGGCGAGGTCATCGGGCTGGAGTGGGTGGTGGACACCTTGGATAAGTCCACCAGCGAGGAGCTCCACAAGGCCATCAAGGTTGCGAAGGGCGTCAAGGGCGAGATGCGCGACTTCAAGAAGGACGTGAAGAAGTTCAAGGATTGTTTTATTGCTTTGCGCGGGGCTGCTGGGTCAGAGCAGCGGGTGGGGG